TACTTTTGGAGGAGGAAGAGGAGGACTTTGGGAAAGTCCGGAGCACCTTTCAGGGCGTCCTCGCTCGGCCCGGAGCCCGAAATCTAGGAATCACGCGGTTTGGGATGGAACCGCGGCGCCCCCTACTGGCGAAATGGCGCAACAAGAAAAGTTCATTCCCTGGAGCGAGAGATAATAAGCATTTGCGGGGATTGATGCTTCCCAAGGAGGAAGGGGAGAGAGAGAGGGTTAGCGTTTTTCACTCCACACGGGGTGACCAGAAGTCTTCCTTTTCCAAGACGTGTCCTACTTTTCAGCCTTCTGTCCAGGAGGAATCTCAAAATGTCCAGGGTGATCAGTGGACCTCCTTTTCCTGGACATGTCCTACCTTTCAACTTTCTGTCCAGGAGGAATCTCAAAATGTCCAGGATGACCAGAGGTCCTCCCTTTCCAAGAAATCTCCTCCTTTTCAACCTTCTGTCCAGGAGAAATCTCAAAATGTCCAGGGTGTCCAGAGATCCTCCTTTTTCTGGATATGTCCTACCTTTCAACCTTCTGTCCAGGAGGAATCACAAAATGTCCAGGGTAACCAGAGGCCCTCCTTTTCCTGGACATGTCCTATATTTCAGTCTTCTGTCCAGGAGGAATCTCAAAATGTCAAAGATGACCAGTGGTTTTTCCTGGACATGTCCTACCTTTCAACCTTCTGTCCAGAGGACTCTCAAAATGTCCAGGGTGACCAGAGGTCCTCCTTTTCCAGAACATGTCCTATTTTTCAACTTTCTGTCCAGAGGAATTTCAAAATGTCCAGGGTGACCAGAGGTCCTGCTTTTCCTGGTCATGTCCTACATTTCAGTCTGTTCAGGAGGATTTTCAAAATGTCCTCCACTTTTTTTTATACATTTTGTAGTGTCTTGCTCTCCTTTGTGGTTATGACATCTAGTCACCCTAACTTCACATCGTGTGCCTTCAAGTTGCCTGTTGACTTATAATGTCCCTATGAATTTTATAGGGTTTTCTTAGGCAATGAATACCCACTATTTAAAAAATAAATGAATGAATTAATATCTTTGTTATTATTATGAACCTTCAAGTCATTTCCAACTTATGGCAACCCTAAGGTGAACTTGGGGTGGGATACAAATAATAATAATAATAATAATAATAAAACTTCTTCAGAGGGGGTTTGCCATTGCCATCTTCTGAGGCTGAGAGAGAGTGACTTATCCAAGGTCATCCAGTGGCCGAGCCAGGATTTGAACCCTGGCCTATGGAGTAATAGTCCAATGCTCAAACCAGCACACCACACTGGCTCTTTACCACTAATATCCAAACAGTAATTTTCCCAAATGTTTGTTTGTATAATAAGATACAAAGGAATTCTACAGCACTTTTGAGGCTATCCAGTCATCAAAATTTATTTTTCTCAGTCTCAAAGGTGCTACAGAATATCCTTATGTCTTTTAATGCAGACTGTCTTTTAAAACAGACTAGTAAGGCTGTGTGTTTGATTGCTACTTTATATTGGCAACTTTTTACTGCAACTAGTATCCCACATCACTTTCCTTCCAACCTTTCCTCTTCTCTATTTGTTTAGCAAAGAATGAGTGTTACAAAGGGGGGTTGCAGACTGCCAGAAATAGTGCAAACTGAGTCCACTTTTAGGGTTAGGGTTAGGGTTAGGGAATCATGGGAGCTGTATTTTATTGTGGCACCAGAGCTCTCTGACAGAGAAGGCTCAATGTCTCAGAAAAAAATACAGTTCCCATGATTCCCTAGCACTAACCCTAACCCTAAAAGTGGACTCAATTTGCACTATTTCTGGCAGTCTGCAACCCCCCAAAGTATCTACTGTATTCTCAATTGTATAGAATACATTGTGGAGTATACAGTAAAGTCTCATGGCATGTGAAAGACTTAACAAGTCTGGTGTGGCATAAACATCTGTGAACTGCAGTCTACTTAAACATCTGGTACCGTAACATGTTTGTACCAAATGAATTTTGCTTTAAACAAATGAAACAAACAAATCCAAGCTGATTTAATTCTCTTTAGCAGTTCATTAAGATTTAAATTCTATTAATAGTCCCAGCTAGACTTTTTGAATCAACTGCTGAATGGTGAGTTGACCCTTAGATAAATCCCACTGAGTCAATGGATCTGCCAATAGGGCTACTTATAAGAATTAGGCCTTAAGTCTTAATGTGATTGAGAAATCAATCCCAGATTCCTAGAATTGACCTTAAAAAATACCAACTCTACAACTCTAGTCTGGATAATATGCAGGTCACAATACATAGAGAAATGTTGGGATTCTGGGATAGTTCAGCATGTGGGCATGAGCCCATGGGTCACAGGCAGAAGTGTCACATGAAGTTTACCATATATCACCTCAAACACTGTTTTTCAGTGGATTGAGCTCACACAACGAACTGTGAGTCACCCAGTGATGACAGGGGAGTGGAGAGTGATACATGTGTGTGCTGAGTCTCTAAGCAAAGGCAGGCCATGTTCCTTTTTCCCTTGTTCGTCTCTAATTTTTTCCATACTTTGTGTCTGGAAGAAGGGCCCAGGGATTCTAAGCAAGAAGGCATGTCTCTTTTTGGCTAACTGTGTGTGATCTGATGAGGACCAGCTTTACCTTTAGGGAAAATGAGAATGTAACTTCAGGCAACAGAAACTGGGGGGATAATAATAATAATAATAATAAATTTATTTATATATTTATAGGATGACAGCTGCTCCAGCCATTTCTTCTGAGCCTCCACACAGTGGTTTCAGTCAGGCTACACAAATAATTCCTCATTGGTCAACAATGTGACGTGGCAGCGAAAAAAGCCAATGTAATTCTAGGCTGCATCAATAGAAGTGTAGTGTCCAGATCAAGGGAAGTAATAGTGCCACTCTATTCTGTTTTGGCCAGGCCTCACCTGGAAATACTGTGTCCAGTTCTGGGCACCACAATTCAAAATGATGTTGATAAGCTGGAGCATGTCCAGAGAATGATCAAAATGGTGAAGGGTCTGGAAACCAAGCCCTATTAGGAGAGACTTAGGGAGCTGGACATGTTTATCCTGGAGAAGAGAAGGTTAAGAGGTGATATGATAGCCCTGTTTAAATATTTGAAGGGATGTTAAATTGAGGATGGAGCAAGCTTGTTTTCTGCTGCTCCGGAGAATAGGACACAGAACAATAGATGCAAACTACAGGAAAAGAGATTCCACCTTGGAGTGTAGTGGAGGCTTCTTCTTTTGAGGTCTTTAAATAGAGTTTGGGTGGCCATCTCTTCGGGTGGTGGTGATGGTGTTTTGATTGTGAGTTCATGCCTGGCAGGGGGGTTAGACTGCATTGCCCTTGGGTCTCTTTCAACTCTATGATTCTATGATTTTGATTAATAGTGTGTGGGGGGGGGGGCAGGGAGGGGCTTTACTGGTGGCAAGCAATGCAAAAACATTTACTGTATCTCATAGTATCAACACCCCCCTCCCAGTTCTGGCAGAGGAGTGTCCTGTGGCTTTATGCTCTATATAACGATCATCTGAAATGTTCCTTTAAAGTTTTGTTGTTATGTGTATTCAGATCAATTGTGACTTATGGCAGTTGTGTTTTTTTGGCAAGAATTGTTCAGAGGGTGTTTACCATTGCCTTCCTGTAAGGCTGTGAGTATGTGAGGTGCCTAATGGGTTTCCATGGCTCAGTGGGGATTTGAACCCTGATCACCTGATCACAAACCTCTGCATGATGCTGGCCCATACTTCCTTTAAAGCTATAGTGCTGCATTTTCAGAAGTGCTGTGCACCTTCACATGGGAGATATCATACTTGGTTTCTTGGGTGGGGAGGGGAACACCAAATTTTTGGCAAAATGCTTTGGAGCAGCTGTGTGTATAAGCATTTGTTCAAGTATCCAGCATCAGAGCATGTGCTACTTTTGGTGTTCCATCGACTTGAATGTGTGGTGAGAGCCAGTGTGGCACAGTGGTTTGAGTATTGGACTAGGACTCTGGAGACCAGGGTTCAAATCCCACTTGGCCATGTAAATCCACTGGGTGATCTTGGACAAGTCACACTCTCTCAGCTTCAGAGGATGACAATGGTAAATCTCCTTTGAAACTCTCTCCAAGAAAGCCCCATGAGAGATTCACCTTAGGGTCGCCATAAGTTGGAAACAAAAATAAAGACTTAAAGGTACAACAACAGGTGACACCTAGATGTCTCTGTCCTCAAGGAGCCTACAGTCTGAAAGAGACAATGAGCCTAGGCATTCTTTCATTTTTAATGTCACTATTTTCACTTTTAAGTTAATGTAGTGGCAGAATGGTTGTTTATTTGGAGAGGCAGGTGAAAATATCCTCTTAATCTCAGAAAAGAGAAATGAAGGAGGGCTGAAACGAAACCCTCAGCTGTGTGTGTGTGCATGTGTGTGCATGAAGAACATGCTCTGTTGGAACTGGAGTTGCTTCTGCTGCCCGAAGTGATGGAGCCAAAATTGGTTCCTGGCTCCAGGGACAGCCCTGAACTCTCATGTTTCCTTGCCAAGAGAAAGAAAAATCTCCAGGCGGCAGGGAGCTCTTGAGTATCTCTTGAGGCAGTGAAGGCATTTTCACACTCTCATCTCTTCCTCAGTGGGAGGGCAGGGAATAAAGGAGGCTCTGGAAAAGGGTCTGATTTTATTACCTTTCAAGGTCCATGCCCAGTCTTTGGCATTGGGATGGATGCTGAGCTCAGCTCTCCATCCCTCACCTGCAACTGATCTCTGAAAGGACTTCTTCCAAGGGCTTCTGGATTCATCCCATCTTCTCCCCCTCCTTCTTTTCCTCCTTCCTCCTCCTCTGCCCAAATTTCCCTCTCCTTCCTTTCCCTGGAGGGGTAATGGCACAGAAAGTGGAGAATGAGGCTTTCTTTCTGGAGTGGCCCCAGGAGAAAGGAGGGGAAGGAGGAAGCTGGGAGGTCTAGTTCTCCAGCAGCCAGTGGAGCTAGCTGGAGTTTCAGCCCAGAGGCGGCTGTAGAGCCTTTGTCCTTCCTTGTCTTGGGGGTGCAAAGCTGGTAGAGAAGGGCCTGGTGCCTTTAGTTTAACTCCCTCCAGGCTGCATCCTCACTGGAGAAATAATCCAGCTTAACACTGATTTAACTGCCATGGCTCCATGCTATGAAATTCCAGAGCTCTGGTGCCACAGCCAACTACAATCCCCAGAATCCCATAGCATGGAGCTGGGGTAGTTAAAGCAGTGTCAAACTAGTTTAATTCTTCAGTGACCATGCGCCCAGGGTGAGAAGGGTGAGGGGAGAGAAACTGAAAGAAAGAGACTGATGAAAGTTGGGGAGATAACTATCCAGAGATATCAGAGGAATAAAGAAGATAATCAGAGGAATAAGGAAGGCAAGGATTGCCCCCCAACAGCTGCAACGATGGAAGAGGGAAGCATGCTTGCTGTAGCTTTTTTAAATGCAAGTCTGACAAGCTGTGGCAAGACTTGTCTTACCCTTAGGGAAAGTGAGGCAGCTGCCTCGGGTGACAAATGCTGGGGGATGGGCACAAGCAGAATCCTGTCTGCTTTCCTTCAGTCCTCCAGTCATTCACCTCTGTTGGGTCCTGGCCCCAAACTGCAGCCTTGCATTGTGAGATTATTATATTGCCAGTTTATTAGAATTAGCTTCAGTTGGCAGTCCACTCAGCTCTTGCATGTGGAAAAGGGAGGGGGGGGGGATGCGATACCAGGTTATACTTCAGGCAGCAAAATGTTGTGGTGTGGCCAAAGAGGGTAATGGGCAAGGGCCCCATGCATGACTAGGTGGAAGCTAGAATGGTGTCCCAAGGGGGCTGGCTTGGCCAGAGATGGAGGAGTGAATGGTTCCTGCCTGCTTAGTCAAAAATACCCTGTATCCAAACTCAAATCATTTTGGTAGCCAAGGCAGAAAAATCCTACAAGCTCGTCTTGTTCTTGGCAAAAAGAATACCATAACAATGCACTAAATTAAATCAGCAACAATTAGCTGTGCCATTTATGACACCCCAAACCATCTGTTTGAGGCAGTTGCCTCCCTCTTATTCACGGTGGGGCTAAGCCTGGATGGGTGCCCTGAGCCTTTGCGATATTTACCAGAACTGATTAGTTTGTCTCCCCGAAGGATGTAGAAGGTCACAGTCCTTGAGACTTCAATGAGACAGCCAGCAACCTATTTCACAAGCTTGGGGCAGACAAAGTATGCGTTAGGTAAGAACATAAGAAGAGCTCTGCTGACTCAGACCAGGGGCCAGTCTGGCCCAGCATCCTGTTTTCCACAGTAGCCATCCAGATACCTCTGTGAATACA